TTTAAGTTCTGCAGTATAACTGTACTATGCATACTATAAATACAAATATTATATAAAATTTAAATATTAAATCCCAAAATATTGGATAAATCCTGCTGTCCTACAAGCTATATCCGTATGAAATTGCACTGCTGGTACCTATATAACTGATACTAGAGATTTTTTACCTTGTATATTATTATATCATGCATGTGCATGCAGTGTAGCACGCTTTTCAGCAGCAAATTTTCGTTCTCTGTTTAGATTTTAATATAATTATACGAAAATCTAAAAAATAATATAATTTCAAAATCGAAAGTCCAAAGTCCAAAGTCCAAAGTCCATAGTCCAAAGTCCAAAGTCCAAAGTCCATAGTCCAAAGTCCAAAGTCCAGTCCAAAGTCCAGTCCAGTGTTTACAATATGCCGTTAGTGGCCCCCCTTACTGTAGACGCACTGTAAAATATCTAGGTCAATTTCTAAAGCACTTGCATGCGGACTAAATAATTTGTACTATTTAGCCTGTGAAATGTAAAAGATGCGCGCGCCGGAGTTAAACCACGGCCAAGAAAATAATATCCAGGTTCTTGTAATGAATATTGGAGCCCTTACTGTGATTTTATGCATTTACTATAAAATCACTCCACATTGGCATATTTAGACTACGAATAGCCGGATTTGGCTTATATTATGCACTCATTTACTGTAGTTTATACTCGCTTTGAAAGTTAGATTGCTATTTATTTGTTTATTTATTTAGAATATTAGCCACACACTGCAAATTGAACAAAATTCAACATAAAACATAGACATTGTAAACTATAGCTAACAGTTGAAGTACGAGAAACAAAATAAACCACCGCGTAATACGCTTTTTCGCTGGCGTCGCCGGAGCAAATTTTTTTTCCGTAGACAGTCGGACTCCTCATTGATAGTCGGACGCATCATTGATCCGCGTCTAGGCCTCCGCGCGTTATCGATGAATCCCTTCGTAACCCACTGGTGCCCCATATATCCATCTCTCCACTTTGTTCTTCTTCGACCACGTGTAGAAAGATGAACGATTTACTTCGCGATGCCGTAGTAAATCTACAAACTTGTTTTTCTGGTTCCGAAAATACTCAAGAACGGTTATTGCGAATTAAAACTATATATCATCCCTTTTGAAGAGAATCAGGATAAGATAACTAGCGTGCAAGGAAATAGTGGAAGATTCAAAGCGACAATCAATACCACTTTCCACAAATAGAAGTATTGCAGAATATCCTGTGTACGGAATACATATCATGTAGCCCGGCCACTATTTCACTGGATACGTATATATCAGATCTCATTGCCTCGTTCTAATATACAAGTTGAAACTAATTACTAAGACAATATTACGAATTGATACCCTAATGCTTTAAATCTAACTGTATGCCTCGTTTACAAAATGACTACTTGACTGCGTATCCGCGTATCCACTAGAATAGAGAGCTGCATTTAACACTATGACAATTTAATCTATTAATGCTAAGTCACTGTATGCCTCGTAGCTACCTTTACCGGGCCACCATCTATTTATTATTAATCTATTGAGAATAAATGTAGATGTACGGAGCCCCATAAGGGCCATAGATTTATCTGCTTCTTTTTTTTTAAATTCCGACTTTTTTTTTTAATTCCGACTTTTTTTTTCGAATTCCGACTTTTTTTTTCAAATTCCGACTTTTTTTTTTAATTCCGACTTTTTTTTTTCGAATTCCGACTTTTTTTTTAATTCCGACTTTTTTTTTCGAATTCCGACTTTTTTTTTCGAATTCCGACTTTTTTTTAAATTCCGACTTTTTTTTTGGAATTCCGACTTTTTTTTCGAATTCCGACTTTTTTTTTAAATTCCAACTTTTTTTTTAGCTAAATATATTTGTCAGCCGTGAGTGTCAAGTTGACAAGATGGAAGCCTCGATAGAAGTAGAAGCAAACAGCGAAGCTAGCCAGGTAATATTAATTTCATCATGTTTGCATGCATGTATTGTCTTCGTAGTATAAATTAGTAATAATATGCATATATAATTGTAGTTTATATAAAGTACGTATCTATATTAATATTGATCATGTGTTTAGCGATCATGAGTCAGTCCCTCGGCAACATCTCTATGCAAAATTTCTACTGTTAACACAAAAACGTCGATATTTTAAATAGGCTAAAACATGCAAACGTGTATTAAATTAATCAAAGTTTTGAACGATATTCAGGTACAAAAGCATGCATTTTGATTAACATTTAATATAACAATGAAACCGAATAGTACACGGTCAGGTAGTTCAAATTGTTTACAACATTGGGTTTTATAATATCGAGGTCTATGTACTATTTAAATACTGCTTTGTACGATTTATATAAAAAGTTTCGAAGGATTTTCAAGATGATTGAATGTGATAATTTAATGATGAATTACTGCAAAATTTAAGCACGACTAAAATCATAATATTTAATACTGCTATATAGTCTAGCGAAAGCGAGTTTGATACATGATTGTGTAAGAGGTTAAATTGTTCTCATTTTTCTTATTTAAAAGTGATTTGCGACACAGATTTTTGTTGTGTTGGTTTGTCGTTTCTTTTTATAGTGTGTATTATATCTAGCTCATTTTGGTTCAATATATTCTTTACGTGTTACATGTAAATACGATTTAAAATGTCTTGTTTACGTTTGCTATTTTTAGCAGTTCGCGTGACATAAAACCACTGCATGAAACTGACATTTGAACTAAAATTATTTTCGGGTAGGTCTCGTAGTTTTGAAAACAGGTGTAAGCAAATAAGCAATTAACCCATTGAGTCGCATTGTGCCCTGATGCACCCCACTTTATTATTTTACTATGTCTATACACCAGATTATTTTACTCTGTCTAATGCCAGCTGACTTTACTCGTCAAGGGGAAAGCATTTTTAATAGCACTTAGTTAATGGGTTGATAAAAACTAAACTTTAAAACATTTATGTATATAGGTGAAACATTTTCTTCTTTTAATTGGTGTTACCCAGGATGTGGCACAGACATTTGAGGATGAAAAGGTTTGAATATGTCTAATTATGTTATCTTTTATATATTCTCATGTGCACATTCATTCATGACTATACTAACTGCGAGGAATGTTGTGCCTGAGGCCTTTTCAGGGGGTATTAATTGCTCATAGGGGAGTTTATTTTAAGTAAAATTGAGATACTTTATCTTAACCTTGTTTCTAAACAAATAATAATTTAATAATAATATTTTAATATTAATTTAACAACAACAACAACAACAACAACAACAACAACAACAACAACAACAACAACAACAACAACAACAACAACAACAACAACAACAACAACAACAACAATTAAATAATTAAATAATTAAATAATTAAATAATAATAATTAAAATAATAATAATAATTATTATTATTAATAATGGTTATTATTATTTTAATTAATATTAATAATTTTTTTAATAATAATTTTTAATTTCTAATTTTTTTTTGACATATTTTATTTTTTAATAAACACGCTAAAAAATGCAACTGGATAGTACTTACATTAAACTGTTTCATAAATTTTCCAATACAACGTACAGTTCATACACACCCCTTTGGAAATCTTCATCTTCCATATCCATGGAAATTGAAAATATAAAATGTCTAACGAAAACTGAATTGCCAGCCTTCTGGAAGTTATTTGCCTGTCTATTTATACCCTGACTTTAAATTTTACTTTTAACGTTTAGTTGTACTTTTAACGTTTAGTAGTACTTTTAACGTTTACCACAAGACTGCCTTATAGATGTTATCCAGCATGGGAATGTCAGTTTTGAGCTTTTCCATTTTATAGGAGATACTACACATTGTATGAAATAACCGCTGAAAATCCATAAATGATAACAAATGAGAAATACAAAAATTAAAAAATAAAACATAACCTGTGCAGAGTATTTTAATTTATTCCGCCATTTATGCAAATATGTTCTAAACTGATTATATTATCAGATAATACTTATATACTTAATAAATAACATTTTCTTTATAAGTGTATTTTAATAAAAATATATAAATGTTACTTATTTTAGATGACGTATAATGCCATTTTAAAAGCGTCAGATGAACAACTAAAAAATTACCTTGGTCTCACAAGACTTGGTGATCGTTTGTCCTTGCGATCATTCTGTGAAAATCACCATGGCAAGAATGATGGATGTTCTAAGGCAGACACTGATTTAAGAAAGAAGCGTTTGATAGAAGAGCTAGCAAAAAAACGAATTAAAAAACAGCATACTGTACAGTCAGCTCAAAAAGGAATAAGCGTTGCTGCAAAGAGCACAAGGAAGGTTGAACTTTCCTGGCTCCACTGTCGTAAGGGAAGTGCATTCAAAGTAGTTAGAATGAAAGAAGGAGGTGGAACACGTAATGTTGATATCCCAAAAACTGCGAACAAAGAGGAAATTGTCAAAATTGCTGAAGGGGTGTTCTTCCCTGACGAAAAATCCTGTTTTGGAAAAGCTAGTGAAATGAAAGTTGATTTGTTCGATTTTAAGAAAGAAAAGATATCCAGCTCAATATTAGTAGATGATGAGAATGTTCCATTTACCTTAGGATTTTATATTGATTATTTTAAGTTGTCTCTCCAAGTGAGACAGTCAGTCTGAGAGGTTTTGGACCTCAAGGGGTATTGGATCCCATTACAGAACATTGCCCTAATAATTTTATGCAGGAAGATGACAACGGAGAAACAGATGATGATCTGGATCATGAATCGTAAGTTCTCAGTTTTTATTCTTATGAAAAATTATTTCCAATTCTTTTGATAAATTTGAGAATATTTTGAGTTGGAATCAAAGTTTGTGTTATCGGCCACTTCAGCCTTCGATAGATAACACAAACCGAGGCCTTGCTAATTATTGTTATCGTACGAAAACCGAATTCATTAATTGTTTTATTATATATTCAAAAGCTACAACGAAAGCAAGAACCACCAGGATTTTCGCACGCTTTTTAGCCAGCAATGTACCGCACCGGGGCTTGGTAGCCACAGCGTGCAATAATACTTTTTTGGACCGAACTTTGGTCCACAAAAAAAGTATTATTGCACACTGATGGCGCTAGCAGCTGAAATAAAGCGACGGCTTCAAGATACCGAGAATTATTCGACACGTTTTGGCCAATCATGAACGAGAACAGACTTTGAATATATAATAACAGATATTAGTAGACCTCATGTTTCGCTCGATACTCTGGTTTAAATAAATGATGAAAAAGCCCATTCGAATTGTGATCAAGACCCAAACGTTTCGAAACTCCAGTCTAGTGTCTTCATCTGGAGTGTCGAAACGTTGGGTCTTGATTACCATTCGACTGGGATTTGTAATTATTTATTTAAACCAGAGTAGCGAGCGAAACATGATTGATATACCTGGTTGCAGTGAACGAACAAACTTTAAATTAGTAGACCTGTTTTGAATTTAACACAATCCACAGTTGAATGGTGATACTTACACTGTGGATTCACTGGATTGTGAAATATAAAGACTAGTTTCACTAGCGACATAACAAAATGTAAAACAAAGAAATGTTATGAAGTGTGCGACGTAACCATTGGCATTATGAACATAGGCACAACGGAAGCAAAAGCATAAGCACCATAAGCAAGCTTGTGCTTATGGTGCATAAGCACCATATGCACAACATAAGCACAACAACAACACTTATCATGCTTGTCAGATGTTGGGATCCTGGGTAGCGGCGCTACCTGCAAGTGACTGAAGCTAACTGCAATCCTTGGCCAGAAGGTCTTATGCATGCATGCTTAAGTAAAATAGAAAATTTCATTTTTTCCGAATACATTCCGCAATATTTACCGACCAGATTTAATAAGAGTCGTACCCAAGACGTAAATTCATCAAATGATGCCATCCATATCAAAAACTTAAAATTTCCTGTTCTGTGGCCGAATCTTATTCGTCAGCCGACAAGATTGTCGGCTTGATATACGAAAATGTTTCAGCAATTGGGTTTGAGCAAATTAGTGGACACTCAATTTTGACAATATGAAACATAACTCAAAAACATTTCTTCTGTGCCTGGTCCCATGTCGCAATTTGCAAGCTTCGCAAGTTTGGACTACGCAGGGCTAACTGAAAATGGTTTTTTTGGCTACCTGTAAAACAGAAGCAAATTAAAAAACAGAGCAAGTTCCTCCTTGCTTTGATCAACCTCAGAGGGAAAAGCATGCTTTGTAGTTTCTTATAGAGTTATGCACCAGTCAAAGTAAACTCCGACCCCCTCCCCCCCCCACCCCGGACAAAGAGGGGACTTGGTGGGGATTTAGTGGCTTTTCAGTGTCATCGAATTGGTTTTGTCATTCTGCCGAATTACGCCGGGAAGATAATGAGGATTGTTAGGGGATTGTCTGCAGCCATTTTGTACTATTTTGTACCGTTTTTCCAATGGAATCCCCTGGTTCTACTATTTTATACCACGTGACAAAGGTCAAGATGGCGTGCTCGCAAGGAAGTGAAATCGAGAGGAATTTTATAAATATATTATTAATTTAATTTCTTTTCAATCTATATGCTAATACCGGTTAATATGTCCATCCATCCATGGAATCTATTGTCGTGGAAAGCTCGACATTTGTTTGTTTATATTAATATGTTTTTATTGTTCTTCTGAGTTTTGGAACAAAATATTAATATTTTAAAATGTGGACGATTTAATGCGGCGGCCCGGAGATTGTCGAGGAGATATTATGCAGGAGATAAATTCGCTCACACGACTTACACGACGTCTTTTGCTAGAAAAGTTTGTCCCACATCGTGGGGCATTTGTTTTGGTACGGTATCCAAAGCCAATCCCCACCTATATCCGGGGGGGGGGTCGGTGTTTACTTTGACTGGTGCATTATGCGTATGAAAACCAGGCTTAATAGTTATTATTAATTTTGACGATTTCTTTTAATTATTTATAGGCACAAGATCCCCTTAGCTGCGATCAAGGTATGAGTATAATAAGTTGACTGATATTTTTTCAAAATCACTGCTGATACTCTCAATCGTCTTTGCCCTTTTGTCCAACGAATGATATTAATAATGATAATAAAATTGACCTGTTTGAAACAAACTTGTTGGAAAAGTTTCCGTATTTTGGTGTAATTTTTATCTACAAAAGCACTGCTTTTGTTCCATAAGAATGTTAATTGAACTTCATGTCGCAAACTTATAATAAATTCGAAACTGTGCTTTCGGTGATTTCAGATCAAACTGTCTATATTCAACAACAATAAATCCTGGAGTCACGATCTTTCTCAGCGGCCAGTTTATAATAGTTATTCCTGTAAACCACCTATAAAACATAACTATTCTCTATTTATAACCATCCGTGTATCTTCAGTTCTAAAATGTTGTATTTCGGCTGATAATAAAGATCGTGACTCAATATCTTTACGACCGTTATCATATGGAAACCAAGCTTAAAACTGCAGATGTATGGCAGTATACGCACATCATTATTGACGTACAGTACATCGTTATTGAGATATATCAGTGTTTTGATAATGCATTTCAAGCATTTGACCTCACTTAATTGTGTATAATGATGCCTAATGCTTTATGAGAAATTGAATACTTTAATAACTCATATATGCGTGATGTCACCTGAAGTGCGTTATCAAAAGAGCTTAAATACCGGAACATTAATTAACAACTAAGCACAGACTGTATATCTGTAAAAGAAGTTATTCTCTAGTCTTACGAGTTTATTAATTTTTAAAACCGTATTAATTTTCGTTTTACTTTAATGTGTTTTTTATGCTGTTTTTGTAGACGGGACTGAAATATGGACGAGAGCAAGCACTTGATTTACTTGAAACAGTGCCCGACATTACATTGGAGAGAAGTAATATAACCCAAACGTTACTCAATATATATAAATCAAGTGATTTGTGTAATACATTTGTGAACTTTGTCCTTAAGGACGAAATGGCACAAGATAGGGATGGCGTAAAGCGGGAAATTTACTCCATTTTCTGGGAGGAGATAACATGTCACTACTTTGACGGTGGAAAAAGCTTTGTACCGAGAGTTGGTCCAGACATTACAGACGACCTGTGCAAGATTCTTGGGAGAGCGCTTATTCATTGCTTTCTTCTTACGCGAATCATGCCTATTCAGATTTCTAAGGCGTTCATGATAGCAGTCATTGTAGGCGAAGAATCGCTGTTTGACCAGGACTTCCTGGATGCATTCTTGGAGTATGTCCTCGACTACGAAGCGGCTGTGCTACGGAAGGCCTTGCAAGAAGCTGAATCGGGAAAGTTGGAAGTGGCAACACAACGGCAAACTTTAGAAATTGTGTCGCTATATGGTATTAGAGCTTTACCCACGCACGAGAATATAAAATCTTTATTAATTAGTACCGCAAGATGCGAATTAGTTCAGAAAGTCAATCGCGCAATTGGAAAATTTCGTGAAGGTATGTTGGAGATGGGCAGCCAGATTATTGCAGATGCAAGCAAAGAAGATGTTCTCGAGTTGTATGCCGATCTATATCCCACTTCTGAAAAATTGTTGTCACTCGTTATACCTGACGTCGATGGTGCCTTAACGAAGCTAGAAGAGGAGGTATTACAACATCTGCGAAGATATATATGTGCAGCCGATTCTGGAACACTTAAAAGCCTACTTCGGTTTATTACTGGGAGCCATTACTTAGTTGCGTCTGAAATTAAAGTAATTTTTCACTTGAGCATTGGAAACATCCCCTGCTTTGTTGTACATACCTGTAGTTGTACCGTGGATCTTCCAGTCGGCAGTTATCTTGGTTTTGCCGACTTCAAATCGCAACTTGATAGTATTTTGAGTAATCCTGAATCGTGGAAATTCTATCTTGTATAGACGTCATCTCCATTGTTTTCCGCATATTGGTCTTCTACGTGGACTGGTTACAATTGATCATGCATGTCACTCTCACAGACCGACGTCGCTGTTATTGGTTCGGCGCCGCATATTGTTGTTGTTATTTATCTGATTTCAAGGAACAGAACCAACAATTGAGCGAACGCTTCCAAAAGTGTTAATTAACTTCACTACACGTGAAGTGCATTTCGCAAAGACGGGTCAAAAAGATACACAGTTGATGTTATGTTATGTTATGTTATAAAATAGCCAGGGTAACGCCATAGGTTTATGTTTTGTTTCTCACAATTGAATGGAGCAACGTTTTGCAACTGAGCAAAGTTTAATCCATCTGCCGCCACATATAGCCTAGTTAGTGATAGGTTTTTACTACAATACATACAAGTGGTCGCGTTCTCTTATAATCAACGCAGTTTGCAGTACCAAAATGACTTCATGTACCAAATGTACCAAAGTGACTTCATGTCCGATGCTTTGTCTTGAATTATTTTGCGTTTTAAGCCAAACTGCATGTCACCTATGTGCACTATTTGCTCCCACGTGGAAGCCAACAACGAAATGTATTTCATTTATGTTTATCAATATTTATAGTGCAATCCATCTGATATAATGTGTAAATTTTGATAAAACGAAAGCAATTTTGGAGACTGCTTCGGTCGCTTTCGTTGTGCTTGCTCAAATTATATGCATTTACTTCTTTAACTGTAAGTCTGTTTTCCACTTCTGCATTTCGCCTGCCGATGCATGGTGAAAAATTTGCCTTTTTGTTTAACACCTTTTTGTGCGTTTAACACCTTTTTGTGCTTTCTTGGCTATCATTGGCGCGGCGACTGTATAGTGGAAATCCGGCTTAAGATATCGACACTAGACCATAATATGATAAGGGGTGGACCATTAAAAAGTGATGGGGTGGGGGACTTTTTTAACTTTTTAAAATGTTTTGCTTGTGTCGACATTTTTTTTAAATATAGTCTCTTGCACGAATTAATTTTTATTTCAACTTATAATTGTCTTTCAAACTCCCCCCCCCATTACTTTCCTAATGGTCCGCCCCTAGGATACATAATAAAATTCATAACGGCTTGCTATCTGGCAAGTCCTTTGAGTTGTGTTTTCATGTTAGTAGGATTTAGATACCAATATATTATTAGAACGCATGGGCAGGAGGAGAACAAGGTGAAGAGTTGGTTAATTGACCAAAGCATATACTGCCATAAAAATACTCTATGCATTATTTATATTATTCTACTTGCTAAAGAAGCAAATTAAAGGTCATGTTCTTCTACATCTTGTTAGTATTATAATGATATGATTATGTTTAAACTAGAATGTGAATTCGATGTTACTGTTTATAGCATTAACTGCGCATGCAGCTCAACTTTAAAGCCTAGTTTCCATTTGGTCGTTAGTTGTCGCTGGCACGACAAGTGGCTGATGTAATAGAGTGTCAACAAAACTTTATAAAACTCTGCAATCATTAAGACCGATTTGCATATAACACACAAAATATACTATTATTATATTAGGCTATTTCACATCTACCGCTTGTCGTGCCAGCGACAACTAACGACCAAATGGAAACTAGGCTTAATCATCGAGTAGATAATTATTTGGCTGGGCAACACTGGGTAACTATTTAATTCTTTTTAATGTCACGTGCTTTCAATTTGATGTAATAACTCCACATACAACTGCTCTGCCTCATCTACTGTTGTCGGCATTTGTAGGCGATTTTCTCTCATTATAATTGCAGCTAATTCGTTGAACTCGGGTTCGCAGCCGTTTGGCGGATTTTGCATACAGCACATTTCTTCTGCAACGTCTATGTCTGCAACACTTGCTCCCGTTTTGTAATCGCCGGTTTCATTTACCTCGGGAAGAAAATACAAGGTATCTGGTCGACCGGAGGGGGACTCTGCGTTGGTGCTAGGTCTTATGCAATGAATATTCCAGTGTCTGGCAACTTTATATAGTTCATTTTTGATGATGTTATTATAGCAGAACTTTAGGCACTGCTCGTCCATAATTTGCCCATCACGGTAAATCCCTGAATCTCTGAGATCCTTGAAATATTTTATCCACCAGTCAGAACCACTTCTTCGTAACTGAGACCACCACGCTTCGATTCTTTGATTGGATGTTGACTTTCCGTACATAAAACTTTTGTCCCCTGCAAAGTCATCATCAGCTGAAGACCTGAGGAATCGTTGCATTGCGGCAATGTGCACATTTTCAGTTCCACAGTCTGCACGGACTATGCGGGGAGCTCCACCAATTTGACGAATATAGTCTATATAATATTGTCCTACTACCTTTGGATCGTTGTTGGAAGGGCCAACCTCTAACCACATGTAGCCATCCAGGGCACCGTGTATACAAAAGCCAAATGGCTTGAGTTTATCATAGCCATCTACGTGCCAAATATAATTGGGTCCTTTCATTTTGTACGATCGTCTCTTTAATCGGTGTTTCGAACGCCTTTGAACCCCTGCAGGATCTACAATTTTTAGGACCTGACGGACTGTTTCCCTGTCTGTAACTAGATTGTAATCCACCGTCAATCTCTTGTGCATTGCTCTGTACCCGATTGAACTACCACTTCCACGTAACTCCCTTTCTACCTCAGACACAACTTCGTACACTGAACTGCATACCTTTCGGCGTCGCAACCCCATTGTCTTGAGTAGTCGTTTCAACTGGCGAAGACTGAGTATAATTCCGTGAAACTTCGAAAGAAACACCAAAATTTCTTCATAAGGAAAGCCAAGATTGAAGTATTTTTGTATATAACTCTCTCTGGAACCTTCACCTAGTTCCGAAAGTGGTAGATATTCATGAAGAGTAACGGCCAAACAGGTCGTCGTGATAATGATTAAATAGAGTACGCAAACACAACATAAGAGACGAACGGCCATGTTGGTGTGATTTTGAAAAATAATAACCCTCATTCTGACATTAAAAGAAGTCGGAATTCAAAAAAAAAAGTCGGAATTCGAAAAAAAAGTCGGAATTCGAAAAAAAAGTCGGAATTTAAAAAAAGTCGGAATTTTAAAAAAAAAGTCGGAATTCGAAAAAAAAGTCGGAATTTAAAAAAAAGTCGGAATTCGAAAAAAAAAGTCGGAATTCGAAAAAAAAAGTCGGAATTTAAAAAAAGTTGGAATTTTAAAAAAAAAGTCGGAATTTAAAAAAAAGTTGGAATTTAAAAAAAAAAGTTGGAATTTAAAAAAAAAGTCGGAATTCGAAAAAAAAAGTCGGAATTCAAAAAAAAAAAGTCGGAATTTAAAAAAAGTTGGAATTTTAAAAAAAAGTCGGAATTTAAAAAAAAGTTGGAATTTTTAAAAAAAAAGTTGGAATTTAAAAAAAAAGTCGGAATTCGAAAAAAAAAGTCGGAATTCAAAAAAAAAAGTCGGAATTAAAAAAAAAAGCAGCAGATAAATCTATGGCCCTTATGGGGCTCCGTATTCTGCATAGCAAGTATTTTTCTCTAAACTCTTACAACTTTGATTTACCAGGTTAAAATAATCATCAATGTTGAATATATTGTCATTGTTGTCGGCGTCGCGTAATACTGCAGAATACAGTATTTCCTTTGTCTTTCATGCTTTACATTTTTATGCCTCGTCAAACCAGCTTTACTTTCGCACTTTTTCCCACAAAAATTGCAACACAATTCGCCATCCGTCATCTGAAAATACATAGAAATAAAGCATCAAAATATAAATATATCCCATTTGAACCTGAGAGTACAGAAATATGACTAAGTATGTTCGACATTTCAGTCCGGCAAGACGATGTCAACTTACTTCTTCGATCGCTTCTTCGAAAGCGTGTTGTAGTTCTTCCTCCCTGTCTAAAGCATCAGAGTGCAACGGCTCTAAAACCGCGTCGACTCATTCTCTATGGCTCTTTACATTCCGCCATCTTTATTTTTGTGCACGTTGTAGTCACAGAATAAGGCACACAGAAGGGCCCCCTGGCCGCCATCTTCCTAGCCAGTCGATTACATTTCTGGCCAATAAACGCGCTGTATTGGCTGAAGGCCCCCGCCTTCTGGCCAGTCAACTGCATATTTTTGCATAGAAAAATGGCGACAGGTTGCACCGCTGAGTGGCCCTTCTGGTACTGATCTTTATTCTGTGGTGTAGTACCACGTGACACCCTAAATTTGCTTGGCGCAACATATATCGCGGCATCTTTTGAAGTTCAGGAAGTCTCCAGACCATCCCCTTGAGTGACTATGATTATTACCATTCAAGTTTTATATGATTTATCAAAGGAGATTCTAAAAGTTGACTTACTTTTCGTTGTCATGGCAACGATCACGTGATGTATATTTCGAAAAACAACACAAAAAATGATACGTTTTATTCAGAGGCTCTGCAGCAGTATAATATTATTTCGTGACTGAGAGGACGCAGAATTGCGATAATCATTCACACATAATATCACTGTTTATTGAATGAATCTGGAAAGTTTACATTTAGCTTAGTTTCATTATTTTATGCGGCTATACAGTACGATGATCGGCATCAAACGAATGTTAATCGCGTCATTTAATGTTATCTACAAATAAATGTACGATTTCCAAATTAACGCAAAACTTTGTTCCCTTGTTAAAGGACATTGGCAACGAAAATTTTTATTGGCTATTTCAATCCTACTTGACAACCTAACTATGAAAATATTATCATTTCCTTCTCGAACATTTTACTCTAGGAGTAAAATGCATGCAAACTTTGTGTGTCGCCGCCATCTTGGAAAAAATGACCTTCGAAGGTCAACGAATTTTGTGACGTCATTAGATGGGTAGCACCAAAACTACAAGTGAGAATTCTATTGCGTGCGTGTCGTGTTAGCCAAAAATATGTCGTTTTGAGCGTTATACTGGCCAATACTTTTCGCAATCAAACAAGAGAAGCCTACACTATCAGATAAAAACATATCGAGCGACTGGGAAAACAAGGAATGGCGCAATTTACAATACAGGTAATTGATCATAAAATATTGCATTAGTGTTTGCCTTGTTTACACTCGAATTACTGCGTTTATTTAACACGGACTAGGACTGATATACTATCAGAAATAGTGTTACAAATAAGGAACATATTTGGTAAAACGTTTCTGCCCTTCGTTTAGGCTCAAAGTGCACTACGCGTGGTAATACTCGGTATTGTTTTATAGTCATGAAATTGTGTTTACCCATCTAATGACGTCAGATAATGTATGCTGTGGCACAAGTGTTTATTTTCAAAATGGCGGACTACTGTTGAACTTTTTATTACATTTTCTCAACAACTAAATGCGACAAACCGGCCAAAATATAAAATTAAGTATTCCGTAAGCATACCTAATAGATATAAGCAATAAAAATTTTGGTTGCCAATGTCCTTTAATGATTTTAGCTAATAAAAATAGCAAAATTTCGTCAAATTACCCTGCTGCTAGTCGAACGCGTTTTTCGCGTGATGAATTTCAGGCGCCATAATGAAACAGTCTGCCGCTTATTGTAAGGGATATTATATTTCCAACAAGACGCTCTACGGAGCGTTAACTCGCTGGGGCTATACAACTACGCACATTACTGTACAATGTACATGATACATTCAGTACACAGCTCTTTCCCGAGCTAAGCGGAAAAGTCCGACGAACACGAGCGCGAAAGGCTTAATAACACAGTACTTTATACTTTATTGTAGAAATGGTAAATACATTGCAGCTATGAGCTGAATTGCGTATTATACTTACAATTAAAAATTATTAAAATTAGAGTTTTGAAATATATCAAAGTATTATAATTAATTAACTAAATTGTCAAAAGTGTCTGTTTATAATAAGCATGCAAAAGTTATTAAGAATATAAAATAGGTAAATGAAAAGTAAAACCTATTCAGTTTTGCTACTCGATGCCATAATAAAACTATTACTAAACCGATTGGTTTTACAAACTGGAACGTCAATAAAATGCGGTACTAAAAACTAAAATGCGGTAGGCCCTACAAGTAAAGTTATATTTAGTACCGCCACTGACATTCTTCTTCAAAACTGTCAGCCGCCAGTTGGTCTAGGCCGGACTATTAAACTGCGCTTTAAAACGTTCAAATTAAAATATTTTGGGGCTTTTGGGCTCAAAATACTATCAAAAGGAAGCGAGAAGTGAGACGAATCCACTGGTATACGGCCGAAAAAGAGAAAACCAATGATACCAAAGTTATCAAGGGTCAAACGTACTGAATTTTCTATAATTAGTTTAATAATTTTGAGCGATTGGTAACAATACAATTTCGCTTGGTTTTCAAAGACAAAGCCGGGCCATAAATCGCTAGAACACTGTTGTTTAGTAATAAATTTGACAGTCGTAATTAGTACAATTTCTTACGCTGAATCGAACGGTGGTATTTTTATCCTTATTGCGCCATTATGCATTACAAATACAAGGACAAACCTGTGGACAAACGTAGTCCGAGTGATTTGTGATCAACAATAGATACTGGGAGAGATTTTTCAACAATACAATTTCGCTTCATTTTCAAAGGCCATAAATCGCTAGAATACGGGTGTTTATAATACACATGACATCCGTTAGTAATAAATTTGACATTCGTAATTAGTACAATTTCTTACGCTGAATCGAACGGTGGTATTTTTATCCTTATTGCGCCATTATGCATTACAAATACAAGGACAAACCTGTGGACAAACGTAGTGCGAGTGATTTGTGATCAACAATAGATACTGGGAGAGATTTTTCAACAATACAATTTCGCTTCATTTTCAAAGGCCATAAATCGCTACGCTTTCTTCTCAAAATATAAAGCAGCGCAGTCAAACGTATAAACTTTTATAAACTTGCGAATTGCGATTGGAAGAGATTATTTCGCTGGCCTCAGTCGAATGACAAAACGTAACAAAGCAACGGTTTTACTAACACTAGCCCTACTCCAAACACCAACTCTAACTTTAACCCTAACCCTTACCCTAACCCTAACCTAACCCTACTCCAAATTTGTTTCTAAACCAATCTTGAAGAAAAAGGTTTTGGCAAAATGTCATTCTGAGGTCAGCGAAATAGTTGATGCCATTGCGATTTGCGAAGGTAGCTGTTTCCATACGAAATTCCTTGTAAAATTGTTCAATTTTCCCGAATTTTCCTCAAAATGGAAGGCTATGTATGGATAATTTGGGTAAAATTGGCAGGAGCCTTATGGATAATTGGGGGGAAATTAGGCAGCTCATTAATATTCTATTTTGTGGCTATCAACGACGATCGGAAATCTGACATCGGAAATCTGACATCTGACATCCACCAAAAATGCGTGCCGAAACCTATACTCGTCTGGGGCACAGTGCCCCAGCGAGTAATTACAACATTCATTGTGCATTCAAGCCGATATCTTGAAGCATAGTTAATGCTTGAAGGGAAGTATGCCATGGTGGGAAAGACCGAGTGAACTATATGTGCTATAATTAATTTGTAATTGACAAGCAATTTTTCATTGAAAATAAGAAACAATCAACAATTAATAGCTAATACTGAATAATCGCAAGATATGAAAAAGAGTTTTATGCTTAATAGGGCAAAAATATGGAACTCAGTGCCTAAAGAAATCAGAGGAATTAGGTCCCAGTCTCTATTTGAAAGAAAAATTGCTGCTCATGTTACTAAATAATATATTTATACATACATATATATATCCTTTATTGTAAATAGTTATATATATGTTTTGTTAGTTGTCTATATTGTCAATTTTGTCAATTGGAACAGTTAGATTATTTCTATTTTCTTTTATTTGATTCCATAAGAGTCATAACAACACTTATATATAATAACTTTTGAACGCACGCCCTTCGTGGAAATCAATGTTTTTAATTGACGTAGTTAGCGTGTCAAAATAAAATCTATCTATCTATCTATCTATAGTG